CCCCCACCCTCCATCTGCGATAGTGGGCGTGTCCTAACAATGATGTGTACGCAACTGCGTGTCTACATATCTGCGCCTAACAAATGTGGTACTACGCACGACTGAAATTTTACGTTTATAATCGTAGCAACAGACCTCAGATGAGCCCAGACGCTCTGCGGCTCTTGTTATTTATAGTCTTTCTTTGTCAATAAGGTTTGAATATTTACAAAGCTCGCCGTAGAAATATTAATGTGTGTGCTGCAGATCCCACTAGAGTAACGCTTAATTGTACACGTTTCGTTCTATCGTTCTTAAATCCTAAAAACTCAGAATTCCAAAACATATCTGGCCCGAGGGGGTTTGGTATGAAAGATTGTAGACCTGATATAATAGTACGTTATGGAAACATACGCGGAAAACGCGTGTAATGTTATTTTTCATATGCATCGTGACATATTTTGGCACAGCTAGCCCTTTCGTTTTGGCAACCACTTGGAAATTCATTAGCACCGTATAGAGCTAGAAAGAGCGGTATCTCAGGGCAACCTTGTACCTATTTCACCTTTCGCTCTACAATCTTGTTGAGGAGTGAATGGTTTATTATACGGGTAGAGAGCTACATGTCGCGGGAACAGCATGTTTTGTCGTGATGTCAGCACTACCACCAGTTTATATCCAGACGTCGCAGCTTTTCTATCTGTGTCAGTACGAATGTATTATATCGCGCTTTGTGCCCACTGGGGTGATATTACATTGCGCGAGACTCCCTAAAACATTCTTACGGTGTTAGCAGAGCAACGTTATATATCCGTACAAAAACGACTATATCGTTTCAGAACTAAACTATTGCATAAACTATTGTAACTGGAATATACGTGGGCATATTTCCTTGTACCTCGTTGGCGAGTGATAGATAGTGTACCTACCGAGTAGGGTACGTAGGCCTACGTATAGTGAGGCAAGCATTGCTATCTGACATAATTATTATATATCACATCTGTGATCACTTAATGATCACATCATCCTTTACGTTGGACAGTTAACATGTCGTGGTTTAGAAGAAGATGTCATGAAAAGTACCAAAGCATGTTATTAAAATCCATTTAAATTTCGTTAAAATTTGAAAAAGAATTTATGTTAAAATTTTAATCAAAGATGCAAATAAAACCATATTACATCATACTGCATTAATGGTTACCGTAATATCATAGCGTGTTTCATAGAAAAATTTTACTACAATACGAATAGCAGGCGAATAGAGTTTGTTCTAACTTGCAGCTGATTGCAGTTGACTGCAGCTGACTGCAACACAATTAATATATGTGTGTAGTTTGGAATGTTACGTGAACATTGAAATTTTCAAATAAATAACCAATTTTCTATCGTTGCATTTATACCTCTTTAAGAAATATTAATATGATAAATTGCCGAAATTAAATTAATTTCCGTAACTCTGCTCACTGGTCCATTTTCTACAACTTCTTTATAAAATAAGATCACATCTCAGAACGTCTCAGATAGTATGGCTTCCCCATGACTCTGGCTGTCCACCAAACTCCTGTCACAGAATTATATGGTCACATCTGCAGAGTGTCAGTAGCCGTAGCTAGCATGCCATTAGCAGTTACAACAGCAATAGAAGGAGCAAGTACACCAACAGTATTCTCTGGAATAGAATCGCCGGCGGCGACAGCAGATTAACTACTCATAGCCAAAAAAATAATTGTAATAAATTATGTTTAATAGATTTATTAGAGATCAGTGGCTTCGACAAGGCGTATACATTGTACAGATTCCCAATAGGTGGCGCGGCGAACTTCGAACGTTACCAACATGGCTGCGTCCTTGATAAAGTAAGTCCCTCTCAGAAAAATGTTTGTTATCATGCTATCGGCTCATCGATAGTCATGTCCAGCTGTCTTATTTTATTACAAAATATGTGACTACATTGAATTTCATATAGCTAAATGGAAAATTTCAAGAAGCCGGTTGCTAGTAACAAAAATATAATAGACGACTTGCAGGCAATGATGCCATGGCACATAGTCATAGGCTAGATACAATAATGTAACCCAAACCCAAGAGGATAGGGTTACAACGCGAGCCTATACCTTTTTGCGGAGGAATGCCCGAGTGAATCACTCGGGCCGGTTTGCTGGTGTATTTTCAGA